GATAATTATCACATTGGTGGTCTGAACATTGAGGAGAAATTTTATCCTTAAATGTTAACAAGGCGACTATATAGGGTGTTACAGGATCATGCACTGAGAAAACTCGGCCAAGTAAATTGTTTTCTTGAAAAAAAGTCGATTGTGACAAGAACATTTTCACCAACGGTAGGAAAATATGGTACTTGCAGTAGGCAAAACTATATTTCTGGAACGAAGTTTCTGCTGTAAGTGATCAGAACACTTGTTGGTATCAACCAAGTCGATATGTACTTAGAGTTCGCTAATTCTAAGTGAACACTAAACTAGTGCTAGGTTAACGAATACTCACTATTATCAAATTATTTTTCTGACATAAGATCACTTGCTCTGAGCGAACTCATCAATAAAGACAATCTATCAAGTCGATTGTTGCAGGTGACAGCTCACCTGTAGTTATAGATCTCTTTTTCGTTCGGACATCTCCGATATTATTCGAGTACCCACGCCCAACGCGATCACTGTCCAGTGTCCACGAGTCCACGGCGTCATTTCGATCTTAGCATTCGTGAAGTTAGTATACTTGCGTTTCCGCTAGTAACATTGAAAGTCATGCAAGTGCCCTTCCGAACAACTATACTATATCATATTCGTATGAGAATTCTCTGTTTGTGTGCCGTGCTCTGTTGCCGTGCTCTGAGCTGTGGGGTGTTGAGTTCTTGATCTGTTCTCTTGAAGGAGATAATGAAATACAAAACTCTTCTAGAACCTTCGATCATAAAGGTTCGTTGTTCGGAGTCTAGAACAGTACATTATTGTTTCTACATATGTACAGGATTTTTCTCCACTCCCTATGATACTCGAAGTGGAAGGAAGTGACGTTTAAAAAGTATGAAAGTTGATTCATCTTCAATGCTGGAAGGAAAAAGATAGTGAACCAGAGTGCAGTGCAGTGAGTGAGAGTACCGTTTTTCTCGGTGCATGATGCTGATCTACGCGGTATCTAGTATCTCAATATTTGTCGTCAGCCTTACCTTTTTTGTATTTTCTGGATTCATCATACCTTTATAATAAAATGTTTTGAATGCATGTGTTTTTGTCTTATTACCAAGGTTTTATCATTTTTCAGAGAACAATGGAGGTATTTTTTCATACTAGCTAATGACAAGTGAATAAGTCACTATTGGCAAGTAAATAAGTCACTGATGACTAGTAGATAAGTCACTAATGACATGGTATTAGGCCACTAATGACTAGTGAACAAGTCACTAATGACTAGTGAACAAGTCACTAATGACTAGTGAACAAGTCACTAACGACTAATGAACAAGTCACTAATGACTAGTGAACAAGTCACTAATGAAAAGTGAATGAGTTACTAATGACAATTAAATAGGTCACTGATGACAAGTGATGTGTTCACTAACCGTTATCACTCTGAAATTTAATGAAACAGGTCAATAGTGGTAAGTGTACATTTCCAGGAACACAAATATTCTTGTGGTTATTAACTTGTTTCCTTGTCCCATATAGTATACAAGTTTTTACTTGCCACTATTAAATATTCACTTAGGGTTAGTGATTTTTTTTCTCCGTGTGGCTTTCTTGTAAGTTTTGAAGATAAATATTTGACATTTTGAACAAAATATTTATATACATAATATGTACTCGAAAAAATATAATGTTTTGATAACTATTTTGTTATGGAACCATTGTTTTCTGAAACTAGAAGAGACTTCGGATTCAAATGGCTATCTATATTCTTTTTTTGAAAAGGTTCGAGAAAAAAAAAATTTGTACGTATACCTTCATCAGTTCTTATGCTGAATTCAATAATATATAGGAAATTTTGAGTTTTTATTCAGGAGTACAGTAAACAGGGTCGGTGTTTTCAGCCCTCACTAGATTTCAATAGCAATTATTTCTGCAATTTATCACCACTGGATAATTGTAGGAATTGTGAGGTTTTTATTTGAATAAAACAAAACAATATCAACTCGAATTCCTACAGGCAATTGCAAAAATAATCACTGATAAAAAAGTGAGGGCTAATAATTGTTTAATTAGCCGACCTTTATTGTTCAATACACTCCTGAATAGGTATTTTGGGCGTTAAGTTTTGCCGTTGATTGATATATTACGCTTACAGCGTAAGCGTTATACGTATATTAATCAACGGTTTTACTTTAAAAGTTAAATGGCCTACACGGTCGGGGTCACGTGCGATTTTCGCTATATGTCAAAAATTACAGATCCTTTAAATTAATCGCTGAAAATATAGGCGTTTAATTATTTAAACTTCAAAAACGTTCATGAGAAATAGTTTGTTTTTATTCCGATTTGACAAATGTTTTTCAAATTTGAACGTTTGAACTTTCATATGTTATTGATATTTTTTAATTTCTACGAAATATCTAGAATATTGGAAAAGTGTTAACTTCAACAAAACTATCGTAAACTTTGGTTAAAAATGCGCACGAGTTGCAAACAAATTTTTTTCTACATACGTGAAAAATATAGTTCTGAAGTAAAAATTTGTTTAGCTTGTTTAGTATTGAATTAGCTTAGAAGGCCTCTCCCTATCCTCCCTGGGTACGCACTATATTCCACGAACATTATAGCAATTTCATTTTGTGCGGTCGAAGAGATGAAAAAAAAATTGTTCAACATTCAGAAATTGAGGACCATAAAGTTGAAATGCAAAAATATCTTATATAGTTTACATACAGGGTGTTTCATAATTGAATGCTGATCCTAAAGGGCGATGATCCTTGGATGATTTTAAGGAGAGAAGTTCATATCAGCATATGTCTTGAACCTCTTAGTTTTTGAGCTACAGGGTGTTGAAATCAGAAGCGTACAGCGTTTTTTCGAACAAAACATTCAATATCAGGTCTACGCCGAGAACATCACTGGTGAAGTAAAAGTTTGATTTTCTTCCCAAAACAAAATGTGTTTTCACTTATAGTGGGTGTCTACTGAATTACCAAAAACAATATCCAAGAACTGAAGGAACAAAATTCTTTGGTTTTTATTTTTTTACGCAAAAACGGTACCTACGTTGAATGAAAGTAAGTCTAGGAATCAAATTTGCTCCAAAATGAATAAGAATTGAAAAAAAAAATCTGGTTCTCAGAAAAATCAGTGGCGTACTATTTTCTTCTTCAAAAATTGTCAGTTCAAACCCCGTACGGACGCCACTGGTGAGAATTTTTAAATATCTTTCACGTAAAAAAATGCTCCTTAATGATGAAAAGGTGTATACAAAATATCATAACAATATCTAAGAGTGATAAAAAATTATGATGAAAAACTCATTTTTTTCTTGAAATTTCATCACCCTGTAGCTCAATAACTAAGAGATTTAGGACATATGTTGATATGAACTTTTCCCTTTGAAATCATCCAAGGATTATCGCCCTTGAGGATTAGCATTCAATTATGAAACACTCTGTATATCCAATGCGCAAAGTATGCACTTCGCGCATCGTTTTACTTTGCGCACTGCTTCGCACATGCGGTGTCGTGGTAACGTAGGAAACTGAAAAAAGTGTCACTTCGCAATTTATTATCAATGCAACCTTGTCATTTTTTGACGATTGTGGAAAAAATAAATTTGAAGCTGGATTATTATTATTATAGGTATATACAGGGTGAGTCGAAAATGTGTACCGAGTTTTCTGGAGGTGATAAAACTCAATAAACTATAATGACCCAAAATGTGTATTAAGGGTCGAGATATATATATTTATCCTTCCAAAATTGCTTAAACTTCTAAAGGGTAAAAGCACTGAATTGAAATTTCCTGCATGAATGTGAGTCGATAAAATACATTTTTATAATGCACTTCTATATTTCTGCTATAATTATATTTTAACTTGTACTTGTAATGGAATACATTTTAATTTCAATTGCCAATTTCTCATGGATATTTTCTGCGAAACATAAGTTCGATGGCACTTATTATTATCGCTCAACAGCTTTATTCATCTCCTCACTAATAATTATATATTTATTATATTTATTATTATTATTCATATATTTTGTTGAATAAATAAGGTTATTATATTATCATTATTATATTATTATATATTCACTTATAAATAGTTATATATCTTTTTAAAAAATCATATAGGTATTTTTTTCGATAATAATTAGTATATAATTGAAAGTTAGTATATACTTATTATAGCATGCGATATAATGGTAGTGATATAGCATGAAACAGTTGTGTCGAAGGTAACTTTTTTTAATACCTATACTATTACTAATGTTTCTCAGAAATTAAAAAAAAATCGAAATCTGATAGTTGCAATAGAACCGTTCAAAATTGAGACACATATAGGTACCTATCTGTGTAAAATCGGAATAGAAACAACTTTTTCCAGTAAACGTCTTCGAAATTCATACAAATAAGCATATTTACAGCAAATAAAAACAACTTTTGACACAGTAGGCCATTGATAATATTTTTCAAAACAAAACTCAACGCCGAACTCAAATTTTACTATATTATACTTTATTATCAAATAATTTTTTTTTACATTATTATATGCCAACTTTCTGAAAGACACACTGTATAAGTGTAAATAATTATATCATCCATCAATACCCCACTGACCATCAGTGGCAGTAGCTATTATTACTTTTTTTTGCAACATGGTCCAATGCATTGCATTGCGCCTATTTCCCCTACGCATAGGTAAGTATTCCTCAGATCGTCTCTATTCCTGGCTTTTTTATTTTCCCGTTGTCTCCTCTGTTTGACTGTTTGTGTTCTCTTATCTCATGATTGATAAAAATGTAAACATAAATTCATAATTCCGTTATTTCCTACTTATTCCAGATCATTTCATGCAAGAACTGATGAATGAATCGATCATTGATATTTTCAAATCTGATGATAATAACGCCCCACATTCAAATCGAGCAGCGAAAACGTTAAATCCAAATCTAGTAACTTACAGTGCTGCCACCCGGGGGTGGGGGCCTCTATATAACTCAAAATTGCCGGCCGCCATTTCATTTCAGATCAACGCATTGACTAAAGCGTTTGTGTTTTCTAGTTGATAGTTGTTTAAAATTTTTATAACAAAATGAGGGAAATCGTTCACATCCAAGCCGGACAATGCGGAAACCAGATTGGAGCCAAGGTATGTCACATTTTCATTTGTTTTATTTTCTTTTCTTTTGTTTTGGAAGATGTAATTTGTTCTCGCAGCCATCTTTATGGTTGCCGACAAAATAATTTACATCATGCATCATGCGTTTATCGTTTCTACTGGCCAGTAATACCTGCAATGTTTTCACAAATTTTCATTCCCTTTTATAGGTAATTGGCAAATTATAGTTTGATCTATTTCTCGTTTTTTCTACCGGCCAACGAAGATTCTTTTATCATGACATATTGATTATTCTAAAAACATGGGTTGGGTTCGGGTTAAAACGGTAGGTCGGTAACGGTTTTCTATGAACAGTGGCGGACGGAGCAAACTTTATATGTATTGAATATGATCTTAACATTTGCATTATGATAGTAGATGTGGCAAGATCTTACATTTCCTTGTACGGTTTGTGTAATTATGAATTAAATTTTTCAGTGGGATATCCGCAAGATTTTATATTTCTTGTTTCTTGTAATTGAAATGCCATCAATCGAAATTGTAAAATCTGATTTGTTGAATAATTCGAATATACCAATCAGCTTCCAAGGATTCTTAATTCAATTGTTAATAATTTGTTTAGTCGAGTTTAAAAATCCACCATAACACCACAAACATTTTGGTGCGCCTCAGTGAAATATTTTCAAATCATGAAATAATATGGTGCCTATAATATACATTAAAAGATAATTGATTATAATGATAATATAGTGAATAAATAGGTACACTAATTATTCTACTTTTTCATAGCCATTGGGAATTGCTAATTGTAGTTTAGTTGAGTGGTTGAGTTGGCAAAACGGGATTTTGGTTCCAGCATTTTAACATGGTTTTACTTCACTGATCATCCTGTCATGACACATTCCAGAAGAGTTCAATGGCCTTGTTGTTCTTGAATATATATCTAGTGGCATTTTGGAATGCTTTTCTTGGACCATTAGCATAGATCTCATTTTTCAGTCGCGTGTTTTAAATTAGAAAGGATCATAAATAGATTAATGAGGCAGAAACTTTAGGCCTACCCACTCACTATCTAGTTTGTGAGTTCAAACTCTTCAGAGGAAGTAGGTAAAGACTAGATAGCTTGAGTGCTTAAATGTAGGTGATCCAAATATTTGATACCTAGTAGGAATTCAACAGCACTCTTTCTGAAATCATAGAATCATGTTCTCAGTAGTTATTTTCAAAATATAAGTCGATTCAACCTTTTTGAAATTGTTTGAAGACAAAGCTGAAATAGAAATACTTTTTCTAATCTCCAGATACCTATCCATCCACTAAATCATGGAATTCCTAGCATAAATCATTGATATTGTTTCCAGTTATTTTATAAAACCTATATATTCAATGTCAAGTAGATATCATGAGAAACTGCAACATGATTGACATGTGCGTGTTCCTATAGATACTTCCACGGGAAATGTTTCTCAGAAATCTCTGCTACCTATACCTAATTCCATCACTAGCAATACCAGTCAAACGAACCCGACACGTCCAGTCAGCACATCCCTTGGTCGTTAACCGTGAAAAATGTCTAAAAACACTACCAAACCTTGTTCGTTTATAGAACATAACATATAACCTCCAAAAGTTGAACAAAAAAATTGGCACCTGCCTCCTATCCCTATCCTCCCTAGGTACGCGCAATGTTCCTCGAACATTATAAAAATTTCCTTTCGTGCGCTCCAAGAGATAAAAATCAATTGATAACATTTTCTTAGGCATCTACTGTGTCCATGGTACGAATTTACCACCCCTGTAAAATCTTCCTTGACTGGATTATGGGAACATGTATAAACTTTTGTTTCCTTGGCACCTACCTAGGTATTTGAAATGTACATTCAACATGTGGGTAAATCAATTTTTGGGTTGTAATTTAGGCAGATTGATCCCTATCAATTGCCCAAGTTTAAAAAAGCACTAGGATTTTTTTTTTTCATTAACTATCGACAGATTCTCAATCAGGAGCACTTGAAACATACCTGTAAAAATATTCGTCAGACTCAAATGTGGATCTATTAATAAAGTGTGAGGGGATGAATTTTATATTTTTCTCAATCTATAATATGTTGAATATGATCCTCTATAAGAAATCCTTTATTAGATGTTCAGAATAAAATACAGTAAGTGGTACTTTTTATCAATCATACAGTTTATTATTAAACGGAATTTTAAAACTAACTTGATATTCAGAAAATTATTTCAAATTTCTAGAGCTCTTTATTTCAAAAAAAAAAGGCTGAAGATGTGTCGATAATTTTAAGCTCGGTTTCAGGTCAACTTCAATATCACTATTGTGCTCCACTTTGCAGATATTTAATATACAGGGCATATCATATTTAAATGTACATACGATACATGTATATAAAGGACACTGATGGTTTCAAATTACCCCCCATTGATGTGTCTGCTATCTTTGATAACTAATATACAGGACGTTTTCTTGATACCTATTAGCAAAATATTCATCTGGTTAAAATTTTTTAACTACTTTGTACAGGGTGCGCCTCTTGAAATGGAATCCCCCCTTAACTCTTTCGTTCTCAAAGATATGAAAATATTTTAAATGAAAAAGTTGTGTCAAACAAACTAAACTTTTATTTTGTGAAGTTGCTCCATGTACAGGGTCATTCGTTTTCCCAGAAAAGACATCAACTTTGATTTTTCCAATTGAACACCCTATATAATTTACGACATGTCGATAGAGCCTTTCCTTCTCATTTCAAAAATATATATGAGTTGCATATTTGGATGAAAAATTGTTGAGTTATTGATTATCAAAATTTACCAAAATACCGCATTATGAACCTTCACTTATTTTTAATATCATCTGATGTAAGTTGAATATAGTCGGCTTTGAAATAACGTTGATATATTGTTCAACCTCCGTGGAAATGTCATAGTTTTATTTATTATGAAATTGAAATCGTTCAATCTCAATATAAAAAAAATATGAATTAACAGTTTCAATGGAAGATTTCGTATTTTGGTAAACTTTGATAATCAATAACTCAAATGATTCTCATCCAAATATGCAACTCATATAAATTTTTGAAATCAGAAACAAAGGCTCCATCGACATGTCATAAAATATATAGGTTCCATTGAAAAAATCAAAGTTAATGTCCTTTCAGGAAAAACGAATGACCCTGTATATGGAGCAACTTCACGAAATGAAAGTTTGAATCGTTTCAAACAACTTTTTGAATCAAAATTTGTTCACATTTCTGGAAACAAAAGAGTTAAGGGGGGGGGGGTCCATTTTAAGAGGCGCACCCTGTACAGTCCATTCATACTTGTTGAAAAAATTCCACTGATATTACTCATCAAAACTGAATAAATATTGGGATCAGAATCCAGGTCCGTCTTCAGGAAAAACAGAAAACTTCTTTCATTTCAAAAACAACCAACACTGTATGGCAAAATTTTATAGATTTGTTTTAATATTTGAAAAGAACGGGAAAAACCAATGAACTGACCTACTTTTCAGGAGCCGCATCCAATTTGACATATGTTTTGCTCTGCAAAATATTCTAATATTCTGACATGCAGTTCATAATCACTAGTGTGATATTATAACGTTAAGATAATTGTTGGTGATTGTGTGTGGTTACATTTCAAAGTGTTCATAATAATTATGCCCACATTACATTACAATAACCTTTACTTTACCAATAATATCACACTAGTGATTTATATGTCAGATTAAATTTTTTTTGCACAGCCAACTTCACCGCAGCTTATGAATAAATACATAGTGAAGAATAAAAGTAGTCCTCGAAAATTTCTAATATCATTTAAAAGTTGTATTCTGTCAAACGAGCAATTCTTGCGATAGTTCACCCAATTCAACTCTGATGATGTTGAATGTTACTTTCTTGTATTGAAATTGGTTTTTGAATTACGATTTGAATAACAATGCCTGAAGAATGCGGTAGAATATTTGAAAAAATATCAATAAAACATCTGTCAAACTGAATGCGCGCTCGTGAACAGGTCACTTCATTCATTTTTCCCTCTCTTTTCAAATATCAAAACAGATCTATAAAATTTTGCCATACAAGGTGTTGTTTTCGAAATAAAAGAAGAGACCAACCTGGATTCTGATCTCGATTTTTACTCAGTTTTGATAGGTAATATAAGTGAAATATTTCTACCAAGTATGAAAAGATTATACAAAGTGGTTAAAAAATTATGACCAGATGAAGATTTTTGCCAAAATCAAGAAAACGTTCTGTATCTCAGTTATGAAAGACAGTAGTTACATTATGGTGGGGTGATTTGGAACCACCATATCGTCCTCTGCAGGTATCGTATCTACATACATTTTAATCTGATGAACCCTGTATAATATTATTCATTATCTTGACCCCACTAGTTTTTGAAATGATAAAAATCGGTAGGTACAACATGTATGTTACATGTTTCAGAAAATTCGTCGTTAGTTCTTATGAAAAAATCCCTGATAGTTCCACAATTTGAGTCATTTCAGAAGGCGTCGATAACCATATATTAGAAGATAGAATACTATAGTTTCGATGATAATTTCGAAATTCTACACATTAGAAAATGAAGGAATAAAACTCAATCATTTTGAATCATTAGAAATCATGTCCTGTGATTGAGAATTTTGTTGAAATCTTATCGTTTGTGAAGTTTTTACATTTGCCATGAATTTCCATCAAGTAACGGCCGAGTCAATTCAAACTTCTATTGATATGAAATTTTAAACACAGAGAACTTTTTGGGTCGAATAATCTGGTATGTCCTTAACTTCTAAAATATTGAAATATTGATAATTTTTTGAGAATTAAGAAAATCATTGTCAAACAAATATATAACAGGAAAAACTACTTCCTGGCTGATAGCACAGAATATTGAATGTCAAATATTAGAACTACCTTACCTAATTGAGAAAAATACAAAAATGATCAAACAATATTGTTCAAATATCTAACAGCAAACAACTACTTGTCGTCTTTCCTGTCCTTAACTTCTGAAATAATATTGAGAATTTTTTGAGAATTAAGATAATCATTGTCAAACAAATATCTAACAGAAGAAACTACTTCCTGATTGATAGCACCGAATATTGAATCTGTCAAATATTAGAAATACCCTACCTGATTGAAAGAATACAAAAATGATCAAACAATATTGTTCAAATATCTAACAGAAAACAACTACTTTTCGTCTTTCCTGGCTAATACAAAACTGTGCTTATACCACAGAATACTGAATCATATCTGTTATTTATGGAAGAATAATACTAATAATAGGTATATCTAATTCTGAGAAATTATTTCTCTAACATTTATTGAGAAATAGTAATTTATCATCTAGGTTCAATTATGGTATTTGAACTGATGAAAATTGAAACAATTCACTGTATATATTATTATGACACATCAAAACTAATAATTGTATTCATCCAAATGAGAGAAAATCGGTATAGAGAATGGAAATGAACTTGTTGCATATGTTTTTATGATACCATTATCAAATAAACAAAAGAATTTGAATAGAAAGACTATATCAGATAACAGTCAGAAATAAATCCAGTAGATAGAGAATTGAATAAAATGAATAATGATTTAAAAGGAAATCCTGGAGTAGCTCTTTAATTTTCTCTTGAAAACGTGCGTCCTATCAAGATTAGAAAATTACACAGTTTATATAGTAATTTGGTCTCGTAGTCAGAATGAATGAAGGAAAGTTTAAAACGCCTTTCCTTTTTTTGTGTACCACCCTCGGTACTACCCTTGTACTTGGAATTTTTCCACATCCTGCTTATTTCATAAATCTACTATTAGTCTACTAACTAGGGCTGGGAGATAGTGATTTTCGATTATCGATAATCACAATGTGTGGATATTATCGATTTATCGAAATTATCGATATTATCAAAATTGTCGATATCATCGATAAATTGATATTTTTTTATGAATTATCGATATTTTCGATACATTTTGCATCAAGCGAACTATATACTACATTCCAAATAAGAAGATAGTAAGTGGCGCTTTTTCTGAAGGAATGTTAACACTGACAAAATGAATATATGACTCATAATCGAAAATTATTGTAAAATTTTAATATAGGGAAATTAATTGGAATTTTATTTTGTGGACAACTTCCCCTAAAGAAAATTTCAACCTGTCTTAGTTGGAATGGACTATAAGAGTGGGCAATTACAAATAAGAATCAACGGATTCGAAAATTATCGAAAATCGTCTAAAGTTTTATCGATAGTACAGATATTATCGATATATCGATAAATTTGCCCATCCCTACTACTGACACATATATTTAGAATTATCTGAACTATTCAGCTTTGTCACAAGCCCTTCAATTCATGATAATTGTCACTGTATCACCTTGTTTAAATAGCAAGATCTTGATATTAGTCTTCATAGTATTGACATTTCTGATTAGAATACAGTTTTATCTATATTATCTCTGCGGCCTGCCTTTGGAGATCTTTGCCGTTGCCTTACATGTTTTTCTGAGTTTGAAATATTTTCTTTAGGCTAAGTTCAATTTCTTGGGATATCACGTTACCAGCTGCTTGAAGTGGATTACATACAGTGTGACCCATTTGAAATTGGGCCACCCTCACAATTTTTTTATTAAAGCAGCGATTTTGACAACTTTATTTAAATATTGATATGGGAATGGTGTATTTTGGAACTAAGCGGCGTCTACTTTTTCAGAAACCAAAGCCTACTCTAGATCATAATCAGAGGCTAAAAAATACAGAATCCATTAATGCTAATGTTGAATACTTCCTCATGAAACTTGAGGCAGATCTATTTTAGAGGATTTTTTCTAAAAAAAAATTTCTAGTACGGATTCTGGATTTTTCAGTCTCTTCTTTTCTTGTGATCTAGTAGGCCTATGTTTTTGAAAAAATCAGACGCCGTCTACCTCCAAAAATCACCTTTTCCACCTTCACATTTAAAAAAAAATCGTCAAAATCATTCCATAAATAAAAAAAACGGGTGGCCTGTTTTCAAATGTATACTCTGTATATCCAAACTGTGGTTCAAAGCTAATTTCAGCATCAGATATGCAGTTGTCAGACTCAATTTTCTACTTATTATGGAAACTTTGACCTGATAAGCATGATGCCCTGTTACTCGTCAGTCGAATGTTGTCAGGGGTTTATTTTTATAGTCTTAGGAATGAAATTTTGTGAAAATTATTAAAAGAAGTTTGCCAACTGTAGTAGTATACGAAAAGATTATTTATATAAATATTCTTTTCTTTCTATAGGTGTAATATAACATTTTTAGACAATATTTTCATCTGCATAGCCCACATAGGTATTTTTTATTTCTGTATCATATTGGCTGTAGGATTGTTTGCCATACATGGATATAGTGATTACATCATTTGAGTTCTCTCTGTGAGTCTAAATATAGATGTGACCTGACTCATACTGTGCAATTAACATAACTAACTAGGCTGTTGGATTTGCCCTTGCTACATCAACCTGTATTGTGACACGAAAACATTTTGAACCGTAAATTGATAATTGAAAAGCAGTAAATGAATAATCAAAGTACAATCAATGTAAAAAAATTAAAAGTTTATTAATATGAACACATTACATTATATTACATTATATCAATATTATACGAAATGAGAGCCTTAGGATCGGTATCATGAACCTCCCTTTTAGGTATCCTAATCTGGAATTGACACTCCTAACTCACAAGTTGATCATACGTTGCCATAGATATAAACATATTAAATGTTCAATCCTCTGTGTTATGCTTTCAACAAGAAGCCAATTTCAGACCTTTTCATGACCATTTGAATTGGAATCCATAAAGTCTAAACCATATTAATTGATGTTAAACCAGAGGCTACTCTATTCATTCTCATTATTTTTTTTTATTTCAGTAAAATTAGCCAATTGGACCAGAAACATGTTCTACTCGATTTGTTGTCATGGTCTAATTTACACAAAAAACATTGAAAAACTATTTTACCACTAGACGATGGGAATCATTTAAGGATTTTTTGTGTTCATACAATAAGAGTAATTGACTGAATTTCAGTATTTCTAGAATCCTGAATTGGATGAAATTATTTCCTAATGCCAGTAATGTGATTGAGAGTATAATTTTGGATCTTACTTCTTTGTTCATTCAGATATTTTTTGAAATTACATTAAAAATAATTTAATAATATCAAGAGGGTAGAACAGTAAGATTGTGGAATAACAAGTTACTGTTTGCATGTGTATTTTTGAATATTTCTCATTTGATGAGCGATGAATTCATGATCTCCAATTTTTATTTTTCTAGTGATTTTCTGTTCCATTCACTTCAGTATTAAAGTGATGAATTTTGAATTGGTGTATTTCCACGATTTTACCTGATATCAGGATTAAGTTGAAGTGAATCTGATCAAGAATCTAAAATATATTGATTACATCTCGTTACTTCTATGAATTTCAATACAGTGTGATCAGTATTTGAGACAAACATGAATTAGTTGTTTTCATGGAATAGCCACTATACTATGAATTCATTGACACCCTGTGATGGTTGGATGGGACCATATTGAAATACTACAATGCTATGGTTGAATAACTTCCATATGCTTGACGACTGTGACAATGAGCATGAAATTACCTTTCAAAAATTGTTCACTGTTGGAGTATGTCGACCATATCTTTGTATTCGTTTATCATACGCCAATCAAGTTCGCTACCGGTGGATTAATTCTAATTCCAATCTGAATATGAAATATACCGGGCGACTCATAAAGAAACGTTTTACTTTTATACATGTTTGTTTATAGTTGACAAAATAGATTGTTAGAGAAATAGAACCAAACTCTCGCAGATATGGATATTTCAAATTCACTCCATACCCATTTTATCAATTACCCCAGTAGATGTTAATTCACCGTAGTCCTATTAAAAAATTTATTTTAATCATGTAACCAATTTTTGCTTTGCAATGCTGATTTTGCTTGCCGGACACAATTGTGACGACTTCAAGTATGCTTTTCCTGTTGCATAAAAAAATGTCTCTCATTCAGATATGAAGTGTCCATTCTATTTTGCCTCCAAAACTGAAACCAAAGTGTCACTTTATTGAAATTTCACTATTTCTTTCAATCAGCAGTTTGAAAACAATGATTCACAATGTTTAAATCAATACGGAATGACAAACGTCACGTGACTAATGATCAACCTTGAACGGTGCTTTTGACAATATTTTTTCAAATTGAAACATGACTAAGCACAATTGAATATCTCCATACTGGGAAAGTATGATATTTTGCACCTGTGCACTGAAGTTTCATTTTCCACCTCCTTCCCCATTTGGTTTGTTTGCTTTGGCCTCATGGATCAGCCACTACACATACATTCGGTGAATTGCATGAATGATTTAAATGCATTGAAAATAGTCTACCACATAACCAGATAATGAATTTCATGAATATATATTTATGATGCTAATCCCATGGAGGACCAATTTGAACTGGATCAGTATTTTTTTTTTATTTCTTTTAAAAACAGTTCCTAATTTTATGAGTGTCAACCTTTTTGCAATGATGAATCTCTTCTTTTTCAGTTCTGGGAAATTATCTCAGACGAACATGGAATCGACCCCACTGGAGCTTACCATGGAGACTCTGACCTCCAACTCGAAAGAATCAACGTATACTATAACGAAGCCTCCGGAGGAAAATATGTACCCCGTGCCATCTTGGTCGATTTGGAACCCGGCACCATGGACTCGGTCAGATCCGGTCCATTCGGACAGATATTCAGACCAGACAATTTTGTCTTCGGCCAGTCCGGAGCAGGGAACAACTGGGCCAAAGGCCACTACACAGAGGGAGCTGAACTAGTCGACTCAGTATTAGACGTAGTCAGGAAAGAAGCCGAATCTTGCGATTGCCTACAAGGCTTCCAGCTCACACATTCTCTTGGTGGTGGCACTGGTTCCGGTATGGGTACCCTCCTCATCTCCAAAATCCGCGAAGAATACCCCGATAGGATAATGAACACATACTCCGTCGTACCCTCGCCCAAAGTATCAGACACAGTAGTAGAACCCTACAATGCTACACTATCAGTCCACCAGCTCGTAGAAAACACTGACGAAACCTACTGTATAGACAATGAAGCTCTTTATGACATCTGCTTCAGGACATTGAAGCTGACGACGCCCACGTACGGAGACCTCAACCATTTAGTATCCCTCACAATGTCTGGAGTCACCACCTGCCTCAGGTTCCCTGGTCAGTTGAACGCTGACTTGCGAAAATTGGCTGTCAACATGGTTCCCTTCCCTCGGCTTCATTTCTTCATGCCTGGTTTTGCCCCGCTCACGTCCCGAGGTAGCCAGCAATACAGGGCGCTCACCGTTCCCGAGCTCACACAACAAATGTTCGACGCCAAAAACATGATGGCCGCCTGCGATCCCAGGCACGGAAGGTATCTCACCGTCGCTGCAGTCTTCAGGGGCAGGATGTCCATGAAGGAGGTGGATGAACAGATGCTCAACATCCAGGTAGGTTTCTTCATGTGTTTTTTGTTTTTAAATGTCCATGGTTGGGACTTGTCCTTCTTGGTATTCAGGTGTAGCAATCATTTAGAAATGATTATGGAAGATAAAAACAAACTGGGACAGGTTTGGAGAATGTTAGGATTTCATTCTTTTCAACCATCTAATCCTGACAAATCTCAGGAATATAAAAATAAAATACTACAATACCAACAAAAGACAGGTTCAGTGAGGTGAATAAATTAAATTTACAACACAAAAGTAACTAATAGTTTTTGAGTTAATATTGTCTGAATCAAATAAAAAACAATATTGTGTGGAATTCAATTGTCCAGTGGATTAAAAAGTTTCTGAGCCATGTACAAGTTGCATTTACGCCATTATTCAAAATGTGGGTACACAAGGGACTTAAGGAGAAACAGAATTTCAGTTTTTGATTTGTTTTCACAAAATGAAAGAATTGCGCCAACTATTCTGAAAGAACTATTATAATTCTCTATGATTATCCCTAACCCCATTTTACTGAAAGAGTTTGTCTTCAATGATAATGATATGAAATTAATCTATACCAAGACATTTTTTTAGGAAATTACTGAAAAAAAAAAAATCATGGAAAAATGAAGGCATCTGTTTGTGTAAATTAGTTTAAACAACCCTTAAAAAGTCATCTCCAACTGAGTAATGTTGATATTCAAGCATTTCACTGTGAATTCTACATGTTTATAGAGTTAGATAAGGTGATTGAGAACTGCACCAATTTGGTGAAGATGAAAGAGATTATATGAAAAAAAAGTAATTGAGGGCAATTATATTGCAAATTTGGGGTAGATTTGGGGATGTAAGTCAGGAACTGCACTAGACTATCATTTCAAATGAAAAGTAGTTTTTTTTGTGAAACTGATTTGATATGAAATTATTTTTCCAAGGATATACCACACTTCTACTTCAATTTATGAACTACTGATTCAACTTGATCTTCATGAAAGTGAAATTTATTGTATTCCAATTATTTCATTTTGAGTTGATCAGTGGTTTAATTTCAACATGTTTAAAATAAAGTCAACTAACACAATATTGAAACATTTGTCTTCATGTCTCAACAATAAAATTCTACATTATCTTTGAAAATTGATGAGGGCATTATTTCAATAACAAAAAAATATATTGAAAAGAATGTGAGCAGAGTCTAAACTTGCATTAATAATTGTTACCTGCATGCAATTGTCTGGATCTGATATACTTAGGTGTGACTAAATTTATATTTCATAAAATTACAATTCTATCAGTAGTTGATGTCTCATAAGTATCAGAGTGATATATCATTGGAAAGGTAATTTAAAACTGTATCTTGATTTCTAGAGAAAAGCTAATTCACCTTGGGAAAACGAATTTCTGTTTATACAGTGTGACCCACTTCTAATGGAAACACCCCTGTATTGTTACATAATCGTTGGGTAAGGATCTCGAAATTTGCTCCAATATACCAAAAATGCACTCTATGACCAAGTGGGGTCATCTTCAGTGATTCACACTGCTCGCCAACAGCCATGAAACCACACCAATTTCCGGAAAATTATATTAGGAGTCAAAATAGGTTGAAAATCACTTCGGATCCGGAATCAGGATGCCCAATTCACTAACTATTCATAGATTTCCTCGAAAATGTTCAGTTCAGAAAAATCAAATTTTGTCTCACTTCTCATGGAAGCACCTCCGTACCTCACGTAATTATCGAGGTAGTGTTCTGAAATTTGCAGGAAGGGGGGGGGGGAAGTCCAACGATAAAGTCAATTACGAACTGAAAATTTTCTAGGAAAAATATGAACAGTGAATTGGGCGTCTTGATTCCGAATCCGAAGTGATTTTCGACCTATTTTGACTCCTAATATCATTTTCCGGAAATTGGGGTGGTTCCATGGCTGTTGGCGAGCAGTGTATGTCACTGAAGTTGACAACATTTGATCATAGAGTGCATTTTTGGTATTACATGCTCCAGCAAAGTTCAGGATCCTTATCAAACGATTACATAAGATACAGGGGTGTTTCCATTAGAAGTGGGTCACACTTATGTAGAATAGTAGATTGTTTTATTAGGATCAAAAGTGACACTTTGTTTGACAAGCGGATTTTGCATTTGCGAGGCGGAGCGTTTAGCGAAGCCGAGCGAAAGCAAAATTTGCGAGTCGAACAAAGTCACTTTTGATCCGAATGAAACATGCTATTTTTTCTGCAACCGAAACAATTAACTCAAATTAATATGTGAAGTGACCACCAATGCCGTGCCATATGTATGCAATGCAACAAATATTGAAAAATAATCCGTGTGGTGGGAAGTCCCTTGTAGCCATCTTAGGTGGGAATATTCCACCTGCATTAACAGCAGGTTAGGTTTTCAAGGATGTTCAAATTGTAGTTTCAATATAAATATAACCACAGAGTGACATATTTGTGTATGGACCAGGTGCTCTAATGGCAAATACCACGCCAGTGCCATGTATAGGAACAAGACGTGGAAAATGTTAGGTTAGCGAGCATATCAAGAATGATAATAGTGATTATTTATTCCTCTCCATACTACACTGTGTTTGACTTGATAATCAAATAAAGCTAAACAATATCGTTGTTTGAGACAAAAAAAACTATTGCTTGCCGTGATTATTCAAAAACAAGTTATTCATCCCGAGAATAACGAATGAAATACAGATCAAGCAAGTATTTGAATCTTGAATCTTGAAGGCTTCCCTGATCAAAACAAAAATACTTAACTGAGATGTTTATAATTCCAATGCTAAACTATAATAAGGTGTATTTATATCTCCAGCATGGGTATGAAATGCCAAATCTGCTGAAATCAGAAACAAATCGGATATGCGTCTCAACCCAAATAACCAACCGTCACAATGTTGTTTATTCTTGATGACGTCCAGTATATCCTTTTTAGTTCCTAGGAGCTAAAGTTCAACTTTAGCTCCTAGGAACTAAAATTCAACTTTAGCTCCTAGGAACTAAATATGTTGCCTAGCAACATACCTATTTTTGTGTCAGTAATAGAAACGTCAATTTAAGAGCTTATTTTGGTATCAAAATGGACGACTTTTGTGTCGGTTGCAGAAAAAAAGTATTTTTCTACTCCCGTATGTGGATTACTAACTTCACACATCGATAAAAATGTGTAAAGCTTCATTTCCCGAATCGGTGTGTGAAGTGCCATGCTTTTCTTATTAGATTTATTTCACGCACCGGTGCCATAAGAGTCATTGACAAATATGACAGTTCCCGCAGAGTGAAGTTCAGAGTTACATCAGTTAATAGACCGTGGAGGAGATCTCCTAACGCTAAAAAAACACGGCGGCTGGAAATCATCCTCAGTGGCAGAAGCCTACGTGGAAGGATCCCTAACTAAAAAGATAGATGTCTGCAATAAAATCTTAACAACTGAGAATAATCGTAGTTATGTTGTCAATACCAACAGTACAAGCAGCACTAATGTTATAGAGAAAGACAAAGTAAATGTACATTTTGACAATTTACAAAATTGCAATATAACTGTTCATAATGATTATTATTTTAATAAAGAAAATTAGTCAAATTTTACTTTGATTCAATCTCTAAGTAAAAGGTCGTAGAAAAAGTATAGTGTGCACCACGTCCTCGAAGACTTTTTTACACTCGTGCGGATTGAGAAACTTGCCTGCGGCTCGTTCCACAAACTTCCACGCACTAGATACACAATATACTATTTTATCCCAAAAATACGCCCTTAAGATATTTACATCGAATTTTGAATCACCATGTTATTTGTTATTGATATTTTTCCAAAAATTTCAAATTGAACACATTTCAAACGAATTCTATTCCATTCCAGAACAAGAACAGCAGCTACTTCGTCGAATGGATCCCCAACAACGTGAAGACGGCCGTGTGCGACATCCCGCCCAGAGGCCTGAAAATGTCTGCCACCTTCATCGGCAACTCCACCGCCATCCAGGAGCTGTTCAAGCGCATCTCCGAACAGTTCACCGCCATGTTCAGGCGGAAGGCTTTCTTGCATTGGTACACCGGCGAGGGCATGGACGAGATGGAATTCACCGAGGCCGAGTCCAACATGAACGATTTGGTGTCCGAGTACCAGCAGTACCAGGAGGCCACCGCCGACGAAGACGCGGAATTCGATGAAGACCAGGAAGCCGAGGTCGATGAGAACTAAGTCATTTCGTTTTTTACACCCCCGATCTGAAATCGCTTTACATTTTTTTTTCTTCGTATTTTAAGCATGTTTTTTGTACAGTCAACATTCCCGTTTGTAAATTCGAATACTTAACTTATTCAAGACTGACTTTTGTTGCTTTTCCAGTGTTTTTCAAAAGTGTTAACAATTATGTTTTTGCATATTTTGTTCATGAAATAGGCATTAAAACTGCTGCCATTACTTACATATAATCTGAGTATTTTATTCTCCTCATTCCCATGACTGAATTAAGCTGAAGAACTATTGGTCAATAGAGCAAGCAGTTAGTTCAGCGTTGATTGATCAGTCAACGAGTTCAGCTAGCTTTGAGAGGGTGAAGTAAAAGTGTCTTCCGCATCTGTCCTTGTCTTCAGTCTCCCAACCGTTGATTGATATATTATGCTTTATATATCAATCAACGTAAACTAATGTAAATTTTATGTTGGTAATATTGAAAATGGAAAAAAAAATGGGGAAGGTTGTATGGACTTCATAGGAAAGCTCAGGAGTGCCAGTGGAAAAAAAAGTCGAAATTTCGACTTGAGCAGTCAAAATTTCGCCTTAGTAACTCGAAATTTCGTCTTACTAACTCGAAATTTGGAAATTTCGTCAAAGCTCAGCCACAGAATGGTATTCTGTGTACTTAGTATCTCTTCATTATTTAGAGCCAGTTGCAAATATGTCCTCATTTTCAAAAAATCTACACTCATATACAGAGTGTCCCGAAATTAGCCTCACACCTCTTTACCATATCATATCATCGAGTAAAAGCGATTCAAAAATATTGTTACATCTCAGATATTATGCATACCCTTGCAATGAGGCATAGTGGAGATTGTTTGGTAAGAAGGAAGTACTTGATTTTTTTTATAGCCACTATGATTAGAAAATTGGCAACTTTATGCATAAGATGTGAATGCATCAATATTTTTAAATCGATTTCACTCGAAAAATGATACATCTGATCAATGCGGAACAAGAGCACTTATCTTGTGAAATGGTGTGGATTTTTATAATCCGAGACTGAATTGTCAAAAAATATGCATACGAAAAAGTTTGAGCAATATTTAATGTAGTCCCAGCTTGTATTTTACACTCCTGAATGAAACTCTCAAATGATTTTATGTTCACCGAATTGGGCATGGAAAGTTCAGTTCTTGTACCAAATTGCATCATTTTATCACGTGGCGTTTCGGAAATATTCAAGAAATATCATCTTCAGAAGCCCCCTTTCTAGGGACCATAGCTCCCTTAGGAGACATTTCTCGACTCATGTTCGTTGGAACTTTTCTTTCTATTTTTGGTCAAAGAAGCTGCTGATGGTGAAGTTTGGCAGGTTAATTTCGGGACACCCTGTATAATAGAGATCTGAGTTGGAAAACTAAGGAAACGGTGAACCAAAACTGGCATCCGTCGTGGGTACCTAGACCTAGATGTCTTTTGTAATGGCCAAGAACCATCAATAAAGCCGGTTTCATATGACTGTTCATGAAAACTCGAAATTTCGAGATAACAATCATGTCGAAATTTCGACTTACAAATACGAAATTTCGACTTACTAATACGGAATTTTGACTTAGTAAGACGAAATTTCGAGTTGGTAAGACGAAATTTCGACTTTATTTTTTTCCATTGGCACGCCAGAGCTTTCGTAACTTCAATGTGATCGAGGTTTGAATAATCTTCTCAATTACTTTTTGCAGAGTTGCAAACATAGAATTTGTATTAGTTAATGTTGAAATACTAAAGACAAAAACAGCTGGGGAAGACATGTTTTTCTTAACACTAGCTGAACTACTCTCAATAAGTCTTATATAATATGGTAGTTTCCCGGTGGGATGGGGGGAGGGGGAAGGATACTTTCAGTTCTCAGCAGCTTCCACATACTTTATATTGATTAAAGTGAGATACTTCTAGTGATTTATAGAGTATCTTGTATAGAAACTTGGAAAAGGCGACATTTGAAGTATTAAAGCCTGCACGTTTTGGATCGGGTTTATTTCGCTAATGAACTATAGAAGTTGCAGAAAAGTTATTTCTTTCTATGACAGGAAAAAAGTTTGACATTTCCGCTGTTAGGTTATAAAATGTCACTTCCATAAATTACCCGTCTGAAAAGAGTGAGTCCTTCTTTCCCGGTTATATACAGGGTGTTTCAGAATAAATGTACATCAGTGTGTCCAGTTTTCGATGCTTTTACGTGATATCTCAGTTATCTCTCGAGATAGAACCTTGCGGTTTTCACGGTCCTGTGCCACTTTTTTGTGAAAATCAAGATGGCCTAATCAGATTTTGCAGAACTGTTTCCGTTTATGAGATACAGGGCGATTTCGAAAATTTATACTTTTTGGACCCCCTCTATATCTACGAAGTTTATCAGCGAAAATGTCAAATTAAAAACTTGACCCATAGAGAATTTTATGCAGAATCCAGTGGCGCACAAAAGTTTTTTTTTCGGGGTGTGGTTTTGAAGATACGACTCAATCTTATATGATGTTTTAAATTGAACACCCTGTATTTTACAATCTCATTAAATTCCTTATTTTTTTCCCTTCGAAATGATATATGATGTATGAAAATAACATTTTCAAAAATGTTCAAAAATCACTAAAACATTGAATTTTAATAGTGGGCTATGGGTTTTTCCAGGGATTTTCATATAAAGAAATTTACAATTGAAGGAATAATATTTCCTTTGATTGTTCCATAAAGGCGGAAATAACAAATTCAACACTAATTAACTTGCAATACACAAAACTTAGATACCTGATATCCACAAATATATATAGTAATTAAAAGTTTATAATGTAGAATAAGCACCTGATTGAATATGTTATATAGGGATATCAATTTGAAGATGTCAATGAATAATAGTTACTGAATAATTCCGGAATTCAATTGTTTTAGTAAATATTTAATCAGGTGCTTATTCTACATTATAAACTTTTTATTACTATTTATTTGTTGCTATCAGGTACCCAAGTTTAGTGTTTTATTGTTAATTAATAAGTGTTGATATTGGTTTTGACCTCTCCATGGAAAAATTTGAAGGAATATTTCTTCAATTGGAACGTTTTTTATAAGAAAAATCCATAACCAACTATCAAAATTCAATATTTTAGTGATTTTGAGCAATTTTGAAGATTTTATATTCATTCGTTATATATCATTTTGAAGACAAAAAAATAAGGAATTTAATGAGCTTATGAAATACAGGGTGTTGCATTTAAAAAATCATAAGTTTGAGTCGTATCTCCAAAACCATAACCCGAAAAAAAAATTAAAGTGAAATTCTCTATGCGATAAGATTTTGATTTGAAATTTGTGTTGAGAAACTTCGTGGATATAGAGGGGGTCCAAAAAGTATGAATTTTCAAAATCGCACTGTATCTCATAAACGGAAACAGTCTTGCAAAATCTGATTAGGCCATCTTGAATTTCACAAAAAAGTGGCACAGGACCGCGAAAACCGCAAGATTCTATCTCCAAAGATAACTGAGCATCAGGCAAAAGCATCGAAAACTGGACACACTGTACATACGATACTGTCAGATAGAGGACACTTTGACGGTTTCAAATCACCCCCGTTGATGTGTTTACCGTCTTTTATAACTGAGATACAGGACGTTATCTTGATTTTGTTGTATAATCTATTCATATATACTTTTGGTAGAAATATTTCACTTATATATTACACATCAAAAATAATTGAAAATTGAGATCATCAGAATCCAGGTCTGTCTTAAGGAAAAACAGAAAACTTGTTTATTCAAAAAACAACACTATATGGCAGAATTTTGTGGATCTGTTTTATTGATATTTGGAAAGAGCAGGAGAAAATTAATAAAGTGACCTACTTATTACGAGCGCGCATCCAATTTGACAGATGGTTTATTATCATGTTTCGAAATATTCACCCAATTTCGATACATTTTTATTGAACTGTTAATCAAAATCCAATTTCGATACAGTAGAATTAATGTCTTCAAAGTTGAACGTCATTAGAAGCAAATTAGGTGAAATATATATTGATAAATTCACCACAGCTCATGAATCAATAGTGAAGAATAAAACGAGCCCTCAAAAAGTTGCAATACCACAGACGTTATTCTGTGGAACGAACAGATCTATTTCACCCCAATGATGTTGAACTTCGAAGGACGTTATTATTTTGTGAAATAATTGGATTTTGAATTACGAGTTCAATGAAAATAATGACTCAAAATGGAGCCGAGTATATCAGAAAATAGTGATAAAACATCTGTCAAATCGGATGCGCGGTCGTAAAAAGTAGGTCTCTTCATTCGTTTTTCCCTGCTCTTTAGAAATATTCAAACAGATCTAAAAATTTTTGCCATACGACATAGTGTTGTTTTTGATATAAAATAAGAAGTTTTCTGTTTTTCCCCAAGACGAACCTGGATTCTGCTCCCGATTTTCATTCAGTTTTGATGGGTAATATAAGTGGAATAGTTCTACCAATAAGTATGGATAGATTATACAAAGTGGTTCAAAAGCTATGACCAGATAATGATTTTACCAAAATCAAGATATCGTCCTGCTGTATCTCAGTTATAATAAAAAACGGTAGACATCATCAAAGGGGGGTGATTAGGAACCATCACGGTGTCCCCTATCTACAGGTATCGTATGTACATATAAATCTGAAACACCCTGTATATATTCACTGTTGATTGCAAATTCCGAGAAATAAGCCAATAACAACACCGTCTTCGAGAAAAAACTGCAAATCCTATTTTATCTTCCACGTCAAAGTTACAGAAATTACTAAAACTACTAAGTTCGCAATTTTCTGAAATCAAAAATCAGCAAAATTGGGCTGCCTGCAACGCAGAGGTATAATATGCATGTTAAACACTTCTGGTCGATAATTTTCTGATTTCAATATAATTTAATATCTTCTCAGTATTGATTCCTCCTCTTTCCTGCCACAAAAAAAAATTAGCGTAGTAGGTATACACTGGAAAAATATTAGATTTCAGCTTACGGTTTTTTGTTTGGACCTTAAGCTTAAATCTACTACTTTTTCCCTTGTATAATAAATAACTATAATTTTCCACTTGTATAATTATTTGTTAATTTTACCTTAGGTACAGTTGCTATGAATTAATACACTCATAACGCCGTCGTAGGGCGTTATGGATCATAACGCCCGCTCATTGTACGAGAATTGAAACAAAAGCTAGAA